TAAGCTAGGAATCGAGATGATGAGGGCCGATAGCCACGACAGTATCACTTTTGGGTCCGAGAGTACGCCGGAGCCTGTCACACAAGTTGTGACACCTTCCAAGGAAATCGACATGCCTTCGTACGAGACTTTGCGGGCAGCAGCCACGCGTACGCCCCCGGATAGTGGCATAAGCTCAGAAGACAAGACACTCGGCCCCGGCGTTGACGAGACGCCAAAGCCGCTGCCGACAAACAGAGAGAACGCAGACGAAGAGCCAACGCCAAAATCTTTGGTGGATCGATCTGCGGCACCGGAGAACTAGAGCACAGGAGCGCTCGCATACCTAGCCAAAAGGATGCGGAGACATTTACCAGCCGACAAAGCGAGTTATGTTTAAGGCCGTCTCCAGCAGATATGGAACTTTTTTTTTTTCTTCTTTTTGTTCAGTTGTTTACCCGACAGCGAGGCGTTTAGCGGGGACAACAGCAACACGCAGACTGCATCATTTCCTTGAGTTGATGGGGACTGGGAAGGATCATGGCGTTTATGGTTTTGCTTTCGCAGGTTCAGCCCGAAGGTCTCCTAAGGGAGGATGCGGGATTGAAGGACTGGGAGGTCTTCTATTCCACTACATGTTTTTGCATTGTGTGCAGGGCGGATGAGAGGATGCCGCACTGCCCTGCATCCCAACTTTCATTCTTCTGCACAGATTTCTTTGGGCAACTCACTCAACACCGCACACCACTCCCGACTTTATCTCCTTTTTTTCCTTTCTATATTGTTCTGTGTCTACATGATTTAGGCTTTCTCCTACAAACTGCATCTGGTTAACGAGAAGGGATGGACGGGGTCGATATTTCGGACGCGGCGGGGTTCTGTGACAGAAACTCGGCCTTTGCTAGACACGAGAAAAACAAACCGGGCAGACATGCTCGGCAATTGCTTATCGATCTATCATACTTAGCGCCGAGGGGAAGACTCTTGTTTCTCTCTTCTTTTTGCGTCATGGTTTTTGCATTCGGGTCTGACGCAGTGCCGCCGAAAATAGGGGGAGTCACGGCTGACTCAAAACAAAAGCCTCTTTTAAAAAACAAAACAAGACTGAATATAAGTATCATCAAACTGCAATGACGTTGATGGCTACGGCCACGCTTCCGCTCTCACCGAGACTCTAACAAAGTGTATTACTTGTGTGTATGCAACTTTCTGTCTGTTCTGGAGATGACAAAATAAGGTATGATGATGGCCATCCAAAGACACGATCCAAGTAGGCAACCTACGTGCTTTACCTACCTGAGGTACATCATCTCGTTTTTCCCCATCGGCATACTATTCATGGGATGACCCGAACAGTGGCAAGGCGTGGCTGAGCACGTCACGGAGGGGGAGGGGAAGGGAGCTCTCGGACTCTTGGCGGTCGAAGCGACGACGGATTTCACAACTTTTCTTGGGATTCTTGAAGAGACGGAGGACCTTGCCTTTGTGACCTTTGAGACCGTCGGGGAGTGGCAAGGCCTCTTTTTGGCTCGTCTGATGATTTTCAAAGTGAGGCAATCATGGGGTCGATAAGGTGCCTCTGAGAAACGAAGGTCCGGCCCGTCATGTGGCGGCGGCGATCTTACTTGGTTTCATGATCATGGCAGCTGGTAGAAGGTAGAGCACACGCACATGTATACATTGAGGTTGTGTTGAGTTGGATGCTGGGATGGGATTTTATGCTATTGGAATTGATCTTCTCCTTTCTCCGTTTAGATGGTTTGGGCAGTCTATAATAGGAAGACGTCACGCTACGAAGCCTAGCTCACTTGCGAAAGAGAGTGGAATAGGCCTCCCCCCTCTTTTGCCTACAAGCTCACGGTCTCCAGGATGAGGGGGTAATGCCTGAACCGGGGATAATTCGCCGGGCGGACGAAGAGCATGCGGAGAGAATTATGATTTTTAAGGTGTTCGGGCCAAAGGATTGAGTTTACCGGCGCACTAGATTGGCAGCCGTCCCTTACGTGCATGGTGAGTTGGAGGAGGACTACACTAAGCCTCCTGTACAGGACTCAGTCTAGAGGGCGAGCGATGAGAGCAAAGATGGAGGAGGGTGTATAGCAGCGAATGCAGAGGCAGAGTCAAGCTAGAATGTGGAATCCGGGGGAAGAAGGGATCGATGATGTCGGCGACGATGCGGTGGTGAGCAGTCGGTTCATGCCATCATTGGCTCAAAGTACTGTGTTTGATTTCATCTCAAGTGTGCTTGCTTTAACAGCAAAAGTCTTGTCCTATATCATTCTGATGAAATGCTAATATTTAGAGTTTATGGTGCATGTTTTGAGATGCTTGGAGATTTTCATCCGCTCCTTGATATTTATATCTACTTTTGGGAGGGGGGGGGGGGATGTTATATGTTACTAAGTTGAGAAGCTGAGGTCTCTGACATGGTCCTTGCCAGCGTAGGAGTGAGCATGAAAGAGCATGAGATGAGGGTATGAAGAATTGAGTAAGACCTCGAGAGAAGATGTGAGGACAGGAGGGAGTGAGAATGAGAATGAGAGTGAGGAAGGGAGAGTGAGACGAAGAGTGCAAAGAAGCTTTGCCAATGTACGTGGCGGCCGAGGCTTGTGTGAAAATCGTGTGGACTTGGCACTTGGCGCTTGGCGGTGCGACGTTGACGACGACAGCTGCGGTGCTAGGAACGAGGGGAGACGACGACGTTGCGACTGAGGGAAAAAGAGGAAAACAGGCACGCGAGCACTTTCTCGATGGCGGCTAGCACAGGCTGCAGAGGAAAATTGCCAAAGGCTTGGCGATGGCTCGGCATGCGGGAAGGACCAAGGGTTAGTGTGGAAGATTCCTCGCATAGCTAGTTAATTTGCCGTACGATGGATGATTTTTTTCAATTTTTCGTCGTCGTGTTTTCGAGGTTCGTCAACGCCGTCAACGCAAGCCCCTTCATGCAGCCACAACGTGCATGGGAGGAGACTAGGCCATGCCGGAAGTGCGGGTTTGCTGGGAGTCAATAGATCTGGCACGTTTTCGTTTTAGGGACGGTGATTGGCTGGATCTGGATGACTTTTGTTTCGGCGGTTCTTGTACTTCCTTTAAGCTCGTCCATGGGCGGCAGGCGGGCAAAAGGTGGCATGCCATGAGTGGAACCTCACCTCCGTCGAGAAAAAAAAAAAAAAGGTGCCGTGTGTGGGTAGCAGCGGGGTTATTTTATGGGGAGGACGAGGAGGAATGCTGGCGAGAGATTGGTCCGACGATCCATCCGTCACCTTCTGTTCGGTCGCTTGTTGGTCACTTGTATCTTTTTTTCCTTCTTGACAGGAAGGCACGCGGAAGGGGAAGGGGAGGGGAGGAGCGGCCAGGCCAGACCAGACCAGTAGAGCAGCGGCGGAGGACTGGAGTGACAGTCTGCAGTCTGCAGCATCGTGCTCTTTCTCCTCCTTTCCCCTCCGCTCGCCTTGCTGCAGGTTGGGACATGGGGGTGTTGCTCTTTCTGCAGCCGCAATTGGCGGGGCGAGTCAGCAGGACATGGAACACCTGAGCTCTTCTGCTCAACGACAACGACTGCGACTGACTGCATGCGGTTGACCTCGGCCGGGAGAGGGAGACGACGATAGCTTACGGAGAATCATTGTTTGGGAGAGATTGGGGGGAAAGGGGATCAGTCAGGTCGAGAAGCACAAGGCGGGGGATCCAGGCATGGCAAAGATGGGAGGTTTCTAAAAGAGACTCGGTGGAAGGGGACTGCCTGTCTTGCATGTGTTGGCCCATGGAGACAGATTGTGCCTCGTGGGATTTGGAGTTTGAAAGCTGAAGCTTGAGCTCTGTTGCACACACTTACTATTACACGACCGCCTTACACTGCCTTCACAGCATTCTGGAGTTGAGGCGGAAATGGCGAATGATGGCCAGTGCTTGGAAGTAACATAAAAATAAAAAAGACTGCCCTTCAACGTGTGACTTTCGTTTTGTCTGTGACGGCCACAGTTGCAGTTCAGAGTATTTTGGATTCCTCCCCCCCGCGTGCCCTCGCACATCATCCACAGCACATGGTACGATTTTGGCCGAATTGGCAACGGGAACTGTCAAAGCTGATGGCTGCCAAGATGTGTACAAAGGTACCTTCCTCTCGTTAGGTATCGTGGTAGGTATCCGGAGTCCGTACGGAGCAAGTACATATCGGGTGAGGTGTCGTGTGAGAGAGAGCATCGGCGGTGGCAGGCTGGATCTCGGAGCGGTGGACAAGGGCAAGGTAAGGCAGGCGAGGCAGGATCTTCGGGAGCGACAACCTGGAAAGACCCAACGGGCCTAGCAGCTACTTGCTACCGCAGCTGGCTCGCATTTTACCTGCTTTCTTTCCTCTTCGGCTCTTCCTGTGCTGTACGTACTCCGCAGCCTGTGCGGCTTTGCCTCCAAGGTCCAACCAGGTGACGTAGAGCTAGTGTGCCCCGCCCGTTTTCGGGTTTGACCGCAGCTGGTCCCTGTGTCATTTTTCTGGTCTTCCCTCCAGGCTTTCCAGCTTGGTTTTTCTTATCAATCTTTTTTTTTTTTCTTAGCTGGTGCTCACTCAATCCCGCTAGTCCAAAACCAAATAAAGATGGGAAAATAATAACAACAAACCACACACTCTGGCTCTGAACCCAAAGCTCAAACTCGGCTTGTCTTGCCTTGCACAAATACCTACCCGTACACAATATACACAGACACGCCTCTTCAATGGCCACCCGTGTCGCCTCTTACCTCATCACACTCCTCTTCTGGCCCTGACGTCCTGGGGGTTATGGGTCTTCCCACACTTATTCACCTTGATCACAAGGCGAGGTATCCGTACACCGTAGCCGTACACGGTACAATGAGAAGAAAGTGGAGGGAAGCTGCCATGAGTACGTCCGAGGTCGCGGCGAACTCTGAGAGGAAGCATGAGCAACCCAAAGGGTCCTCCTACATTCACTCACTGCATACCTTCTTGAATGTGACCATGGACGCTGCCGATGCTACGAAAAGTCAACATCTTCCCAGGTACTCACTCATACGCAGTGTACCAAGGTCATAGCAGATGCCTCCCGACACGGGACATTCCTCTTCATTCTCCATGCCATGCCATCCCATGCCATCCCATCCCATCCCATGCTCTGGTCCATGGATCCCAGCCCAACCCCCAGTGGGGTGTAAGTGGGCAGATTGGCCACACCCCACCACAGTTCCAAGCCCGTCTTCCTCTTCCGCCCCTCGATTCTCAAGTCTCTTGAGTCTGCAGTGCTGCACATCGTACCCCTGGCCCGCTGGGGTTTATTCGGTCTGTCCACCCAAATCACCCGGTTGGACGCGCTTACAGCAAGTTTGGCAATTGGCTTTTTCATTACTGTTATCGCTTTGTATCTTGTTCCATCAGGAAGCCCAGTCCCGCAGTAAGAGGCCAGAAGCCGCAGCAGCAGCAAAGCACCCCATCTTTCAATCTCTGACCCTTAGCTCCTCTTTGCCCGTCCGTTACCCAACCTAGGAAAAGATTCGAGACTACCCTGGCGACGCGGTACATGTACTTTGTACACCACCTATAGTATCCGTATACCTGATGGTCGTCGACCTACCCAACTCAAGGGGTCCTTTCGGCACATCAGAGAACCGTTGACCCGCCGGTGAAGCAGCCACGGGATCCAATTCTCGACGGAGACTGGTCCAGAGTCCAAAGACTCGAACGGCTCCTCGGGGTTCGGCCGATTCCACATCCAGGACATCTTGTCACTGAGGCAAGACATCTGCCCCGACCAAGCCCTCCACCATCCCGGGATCAACTTTGCTTATATCTGCTCCCGTCCCTCTCGGGCCCATCATCATTGTGCTCCCTTTCTCTCTTCCCGCCGTGGCCATCATCAACCCTCCTCTCCCCCTCCATCCTTTGCCTGCTTTCCTCAAGGTAAAGCAAGGAACCTCTTGCACCAGTGAACCTTGTCCGTGGGTTACCGTCCCATCCCATCAAGGTTTTGCTTTGGTCTCCCCGCAAACCCCCTACGAGACACATCTAAATACCACAGCCACCCGCCCTCTTCACAGCGGCGCGTGAGCTAGTCTCCCTCGTCACTAAACACTTCCTTCTCGCAACCCCAGGAAGTGTCTCGGACACCTCACAGTCTTTATTCACAATGGCGACTCATCACCAACGCCATTCCGCCCCCATTGGCGTGATTCCCGTGCCTCACGGTCCCGAGACGGGCCAGGAGCATGAGGATTACCCCCGGGAACACACCACGGCGCATGAGCGCGAGATCTTCGGTCACGTCACGCGTCCCGACGATTCATACACCACCGACGGTGTCTACTGGGCCGATTTGCCCTGGTGGAAGCGCGTCAACTTCGTCAACAAGGTCGATCGCGATGAGGCCGCCAAGGAGCTCAGGGCCACCGGCGAGATGATGAAGAAGGACCCCCTCTCTCCTCTCACCTGGTACTTCCGCAACGCTGTTCTTCCCGGTGCCGGTCTCGGTCTCGAGGGTTACGTTCTGTTCTCCATTGGTAACTTGGAGCCTCTTTTCGCTGCCGTCTGGCCTGAGTGCTGGGGCAAGGGACACGCCGTTTGCACGCAGAACTGGGTCGCCTCTGTCACATATCTCGAGATTGTTGGCATCATGATTGGTCAGGCCGCTGTTGGTGTAAGTTCATGAACCTGCGCCTTTGAAAAAAGAAAAACCAATTCTAACAGAATTTCAGGTCATTGGTGATTGGATTGGCCGTCGTTGGGGTCTCATCCAGGATGCGGCCATCATGTTTGTCGGTCTGCTACTTTTGACCGGCTGCTGGGCCAGCTCTCTCCAGGGCTGGGTCATTTTCTACGCCTGGTCTCTCTTCTTCTACGGTTTCGGTGTTGGAGGTGAATACCCCATCACTGCTACGTCGTCCATGGAGAACTCCGTCACCGCCGGCCGTCTGTCTACTCGCGAAGATCGTCTTCACCGCGGCCGTAAGGTCACCATGGCTTTCCTCATGCAGGGATGGGGTCAGCTCATCAACCAGGTCGTTCTCATTGTCCTTCTCGTCATCTTCAACCGCGGATACGGCAACGGCCCGTACACCCAGTCCGCCGCTCAGTACACTTTCCGCCTCTCTTTCGCTCTCCCCGCCATCGGTACTTTGTGGCTCGTCTACTACCGTACCTGGAAGATGCCGCGCGCAAACCAACAGCTTGCGCTGGCTAAGAAGAAGCAGGGTGTCACCGGCTACGACGTGAACGCTCTGAAATACTGCTTCCAGCATTTTGGTGGTCGCCTCTTGGCTACTGCTGGTACTTGGTTCTGCAATGACGTTTTCTTCTACGGCAACAAGCTTTTCCAGGGCCAGTTCATCTCGGTCATCTCCAGCAACCCCGATTCCCTCCTGACAAAGTGGACGTGGAGTCTGATCAACGTCGTCGTCTCCCTTGCCGGTTACTATCTCGCCTCCCTGTTCATCGACAACAAGCTTTACGGCCGTAAGATGATGCAGCAGGTTGGCTTCTTCATGTGCTTCGTCATGTTCGTCATTCCGGCCTTCAACTTCGAATACTACACCAGCCCGGCTGGCGTTCACGCCTTCCAGGCCATGTACTTCCTCAGCTCTTTCTTCAACCAGTTCGGACCCAACTCGGTTACCTTCCTCGTCGCCGGTGAGGTTTTCCCTACCCCTATCCGCGCCACCGCCCATGGCTTTTCCGCCTGTATCGGCAAGGCCGGAGCTCTCCTCGCCTCCGTCTTGTACAACTACATCGACACTCAGACCAAGTTCTACGTTGTTCCTTGGTTCGGTCTCGCCGGCATGGTCCTCACCTACTTCTTCCTGCCCGACACCACCGGTCTCGATCTCAAGGAGCAGGAGCGTCGCTGGACGTACATCCGCAGCGGAAAGGAGGCCGAGTACCACGGTGTCGCCGTTCACCCCACCCATCTCAGTGTCTGGGAGCGCCTCCGCGGCGTCGGCAAATACTACGACGCCGAGAAGGATCACAAGGCTCAGATCGAGGACATGCGCAAGGAGTGGGAAGAGAGACAGGCGATGCAGGGCGAGAAGGAGCCCGAGGTCTGGGAAGACCCCGAGCTCTTCTCCGAGGCTATGCACGGCTACTTCAAGGAGCAGCACAAGGGCAAGTCTCAGGGTGGTGTAATGCACGACGCCGATGTGTCCGAGTCCTCGTCGGCACGGGAGAAGGAGGCGGGTGACGAGATCCAGCCCAGCCCAATGCTGGGAGCGAGGCAAGATCGCACTGATCTCGACGAGAAGAGAGGTTAATCGTGCATGAAGTGGTGTTTGCATTATACACATAATGAGGAGTATTAAAAATGGGCTTTGGAGTTTACAACCATGGGCGGACTACTTGCATTGGAACTGGGGCTTTGGGTAGAAGCATACTCAGCATGGCGTATAAGACGCCCGAATATATTCTTAACGTATTATGACTACCATACTTGTTGTCCTTCTTCTTGGTGACTTTTGTTTTGATACCTGCCGGATTCGATATCTGCTAAACAGCCTTGCTGGACACGTACCGGTGGAATAGGGGATATCCGGTGACCTGGGTAGATGGACATCGGCATCTCGTCCCTGGGGGGTTAAGGAAGCTTAGCATCGAGACTCACAATCTAAGTAAATTGCGCCAAAAGCTTGATTGTCTGCTGGAGTGGGTACCTATATAACACCAAGCCAGCTACGAAGGTTACGCGACGGCCTCGGCGATCCCGGCAGACGGCAGACGGCAGACGGCAGATGGCAGACGGCAGATGGCAGACGGCAGATGGCAGACGGCAGGTGTGTGTCGTGCCAGCGTATGGTGCTCAAGGTATGGACCACGTGAAAGGCTGGCAGGGCTCCGAGTCGTTGTCATTATGCATGCAAGCACCTGCATGATGAGAGTGCAAGTTCTCTGCCATGGAGGTGTACTTGAGGCATACGAGTGCGTTCATCCTCGGCGGGCCTTTCTTTTGTTTTCAGAGACCTGAAAGTTTCTTAGTAGGTTGACAACCTTGTCAGAATTCATAGAGAACCTTTTGTAACGGAACAGAACGTATGAAATGAAGGTTAAAGCCTAGTGCTTGGGATAGGTCGGAATGGATGGGGTCTTGGAATTAGCAGGACGTTGGGGATGAGTGAAGTTTGAGATAGGTAGGATGTGGGACGGATATATCTCCCTTTCGACTTCACGATCCTCTGGGAATACGTGACAGGTAGTGGGGAAGAGGTGTGAACGACGAAGTAGTTCTAAGTATCATGCTTAATGACGTTTGTCGATGAGGGATGTTGATGAATGAAATCATGGAGCAGTCGCGTCGACATCTCATTTGAGCATTTTTGCCCAACATGTATGTCAATGTAGGCATAATGGTGCCGTTGCGGACAGATCGGTATCGAGCATTGAGGATTATTTTATGTCTGCCGTCTTTCTCATTCATGATAGATAGGGCGCGAATCGGTCCTCGATAGAAATAGCACAATTGGAATATTGAAAGAATACAAACATTCTCTGTGGTTCTGCAACTTGACTGGCCAAGACGCATTTTCCTTCGTAGCCAGATGTACGGATTGAATAATTCCAAGACCGCAAAGGCTCACTTACAATGGCTGAAAGCATCATAGATACCATCATCTTAGAGCAAGAGTCCAAAAGCCTAGGGATATTGACCTTGGTAGCTCGGAGCTTTCTACCATTGCTGGCTCTACCTACCAAATCTCATACTTGTACCTCAGAGCTGCCTCGTCTGCAACGAATTTCGTATGTGTACGGTTCTTTGGGTCTGCTGTGGCAGCTCCTGAGTCAAACTTTTTCCTACTGATCTCTGGAGACGGGTCCGTTGTACCAAGATTTCATAAAAGGGACCTAAGGACGGATAGGCAAATATGTGTAGGCTTACTTCTTCGAGTTACACGCGTACAATTTGTTAGAGGTCTTGACCAGCGAGATGACCATCATATCTAAGCATTCTCAAGCCCGATACAGATAAGTTAACTAAATTCTTAGCTGTGGCGGCCCATTTTCTCTCAACATCTTTCTGATATTCTTCGCCGTCATACCAGCCAGCGGATGAGGCTCCATATCCGGATCTTGGTCGGCCTTGACACTAAACTCAGCACCACCATCCACCGCCGCCGCCTGTGCAGGCAAAACGGGCAGATGCGTATGCGGATCATACACGGCGCCCTTGGGAACAACCTTTGTCTGCACCGTCGCGGACCCTTCTCTGAAGGTACTCTCCGGCGGGCCCTGCGTGATCAAGTTCTTCCCAAACACCATCGGCGTCGTCCCCGACGCGATGTCCACCCCCTTGATCGTCCGCTCCTGGATCCTCAGCGCCGCCTCGGGCTGGTTAAAGGCAGAAAGGTGACCCGCGAAGAAGAGCCG